ATATATATACACATATATACACACACACACACACATATATATATATATATATATATATACATCCCAATAGCTCGGGCCCTGAAGGGCCTTCATGGAGGGCCAACTCTTGCACGGCCCATCGCTCCGGTGGAGCCTCTCTGCTGCTTTCTCTCTTTGCTTCTATGGGGAGCTTCTGTTTTGGAAAGAGATCCTGTGTGGATGTCAACGGGGCTTGTTGAAATGGGGTTTTATGAGGGGTGTTATGGGGGTGGGGATTTCGGGGTCAACACGGGCTATAATCATGGTTTTTGCCTGTACGTTCGAGTGTTTTTGTTGCGGATGGCAGGGTTGACAAGTCGGCGAATACCGCAAGGTCCATCTTTCGGAAGGTTGAGGGCTTTGTTGCGCGTTAGCATACCTAGGACTGTTTGGGCTTAAAGCTCCAGATTCAACCCTCACCGTTATCTGTGGACTGGAAACAATAAACGTTTGGGACAATGTAGAACCCTGGTTGATCGACCCCCCCGCTAGCTTTCAAAGGGTTCGGGTTCCCAAACAAGAAGGCGCCCACGGCCCCTCTCTGGTTACGGCACGAAGTTCGAACGGAAAGACCAGAGGCTTGCTTGAAGCCCCGAACTATCCAACTTTCCAAGGACTGTCGAAGAGAGGGGCCTCACTGGTCAGACTGTGGCGTTGGGCGTCCGTACACATTTCTAAGCTCATGTGTGTGATTTACAAAAAAACAATTAAGCCCCCAAGCCAGACTTCGAACTCCTAAATCCCAACCTGCCGCCGAGCTCGAGGCCGTAGCCACTTTACTGGAATACATTCGGAATCTATACCGGGAGCAAAAAGACAACTTACCGGGTGAGCAACTGGAAACCTAAATTCGAACCCTTTTACACCTGGGCTATGCAAATGCAAAACCTAACCCTAAACCCTAAACCTAAGCCCTAAGCCCTATAAACCCGCTTAACCTAAGCCTTATAAATACCCTAAACCTGCGCCCTAAACCCTAAACCGTCTTGAAGGGCCGGGAGCCACACAACCCGACAGCCCGGAGCCCAAGAAGCCCCAAACTGCTTTCCAGGGCACTTCCAGAGACCTCAGGCGCCACATTCGGTTTGGCCTTGGCCTAGGACAAGGGCTGCGGGCTTTTCGGGGATTTATAGGTTTCAAGGTGGGGGGGTGGGGAAATAGGGTTTGGGGACGTGGGCTTCTAGAAGTCGGGGCTGAATGGCTTGGGGCTTGGGATCCTGATACAGGAGGTAAGGGCATGCTGTAGAGACAGTCTCAAGAAACCGCCTTCAAGCTATCCGAAGACAAGTCAGGGAAAGATCAGGATCATCAATTCGGGGTCTGAAGTTTTACTTGCATTTATTTGATTTGGTGTTGTTGTGCTTTTTGATTCAACTCAGAACTTAGAACGATTGTCAAACCCTTGCAGGTCTAGGAAGGGTCTACTCTGACAGGGAACAACAGCCCTGTCACGACAGCTCCCTTAGACCCACGTTGCCGTGTAAGTTTACAGCAGCAATGAGCTCCGGACAGCGAGTGGATCTCCAGCGCCTTTGCCCAACACGAAGGTTTAGGGCCTTAAGGTTTAGGGTTTAGGGGTTTAGGGTTTAGGGTTTAGGGTTTAAGGTTTCTAAACCGCACGTCCTGAAGCCCTGATCGCCCACTCACACACCTAACCCCTAGACTTTCACACCCTGTGGAGCAGCAAACCCCCAGCGCTGGAGACCTTACACGTCGATGCTCGCAATCGCATCGCAAGGGTGGATGCCCGACTTTGCAGTTAGCATTGTCCAACAGGCTAGTCTTGAAAGTCTTGCCATGCAGGCGAAAGCAAACGAAGCCTATGGACATGGCACTAGTAGTGACGAAACGAATGGGAAATCGGGAAGTATGTCGAAAGGTCTCACATAGCGATGTCCGAAATTTTGGTTCGAGTGCAGCTGCTTCGCAAAGACTTCTAGGGACATACAGCTTGCAACAAACCTGACCGCAACGGTGAGAGGACCGACTCCGATAAAGCTGGGCTGCATGCTTTTTCGGTCTAGACTTGACTGGAGGCTCAGGGCAAGCTCCACACAAGCTAGGAGGTCGGTCGCCCCTTTTCCTGCGACAACAATCATCAAGCGACAGTCTAAACGTTCGATCGGAGCTGCGTGTGCTCAATGCACGGGCAGGGTGCACTTGACGAACAGTCAACTTGATCCTTCCACTCATCAACAACATCCCGCATGCATGCATCGCCGGGAACTTACCACAAGGTCGCTCATGACATACAGCTAACAGACTCAATTTAATCTGCTGCCGCGCAGGCCCGCGTACCAAATGCTGCTAAGCGAATCTGAACGGTGATCGTGGTGATATCCATCAAAGTCATCTAGCATCTATCCATGTCAACAAGATGAGATATTGATTGGCTTCTTGGTGCATCTAACACGCCCCCCATCGCTGTATCAAGCACGCGCTGCGCGGTGTCCTGTACACTCCGTTGCCTGTCCGCTCTCTGGAAAATACGGACACAAGAGCGCCAAAGCCAAAGGGATGGCTCAACATAGTGATCCTGTAGGCCAGCTTAAGGTTTCAGCTTTGCTTCAATCGAAACCCCGAAAGCCCAAAACACCCTTGTAGCTATAGGCATGCATCTCTGTAAGGTGCACGAGTCTACGTCAACTATGCCAAAAGCTTCGATAAACAAAGGGACCAATGCCGTCGGCAACGATCCATCCCTCCTTGGGCTTCATCTGCATCTGGGCTGCAAGGAGCAAGCGCCCAATAACCCTCCTGTCGGCTGAATTCCGCCCTGACTCAACTGACAACATAAATAAAGGCCTCCGGCCCCAAGGTTTGAAACACCCTTCAATGGCCCACACAGTCCAGGTCAAGCTCGGACTAGTGACGAGATTTCCCCAAACAACACCCCCCCCCCCCCCCCAACCGTGATTACGTTTCCTTAGGCCAGAGCCCGTGAACTTCAAACTGTCTCTCGACTGCTATCGACTGCCCCTGAAAAACAAAAGGTTTTCTACCTTTCCTATCATAAACTGGTGACCCTAGATTTTTGTTAAATTTCAGCTGTTTCTTAGGGAGTATAATTTAAGTAAGACTTGTTTCTAAGTGCCCCTAAGTTTCCTCGGTGCGAGAACGGCCTCTCACTCGAAGTCTTCAAAGCTTTGGGGACGCCTCCGGGCTGTGGGCGTCAAGGGATAGACACCGGCGACTTCTGTCTCCTGCGGG